CGATCCTGAACAGCCCATAGAGCTAGCGTGATGCTATCTAGCATTAAATCACAAAACGAGTGAGCAAATCACTTTAAAAACAGGAAGCTTCTGCAACCTATTGTAAAGAGGAAGGCAGGGAGCTCGTAATGGGCTCAGACTATGAAGCAAACGTTACTTAATCCAGTTGAGACGGAATTTGATTTGAATAAAAGCTTTAAATTAGCTCTCGGTATAAGCTAGCTAACGTTCAACGTTAACCTATTCAAGGTTAGCTTGCCGACGAGAGCATTATGTCCGTTATAGTTCCGAGATTTAAAAAACAAAAAAGACAGCAGGCTTTTTTTTTTTTTGACAACGTGTCTACAAGAGAAGAATGTCACGTACTCCCCATGGTGTCCTTTTAGACCGACTCCTGTCGTGTTTACTGGTACCGGGTTTGAGTGCTCAGTGGAGTCAGCAGTGTGGTTCCATCCAGCCTCTCCGCGAGAAAAGAGAGAGCAGTAGAGACACGTCACCAGACAAGCCGCTAACACACGTCACTTCTCCGAGACACGCGCACACCCATCACACATGAATCACACAGCTGCACGCGCGCACATATGCGTGGTGTGTGTGCAGTCGTGTCTATGAAGACACGTTATTTAAAGGAGATGAACAAATCCAGAAAACGCCCGATTTAAATTGTTAACATATATAAAGGTAACCTCATATGACACAGAGGTCTTCCATCCTCCAGAGGGCGCCATGCTCCGGACTCATCAGCTGCTCTGATATGCTTCCCCATAAATAAAGAGCCTCTCGGGATCAGGACTGGACGAGAACCGACAAGTGACATACCTGCAAATCTTGCAGAAGAGATATGATACAAACTGTCATGGACTTATAACCACCACTCTTCTGCTGCTCGCTTGCATTCGCCTATTAACCCTATACTATGATAATATATGTGCATACAACATACACCACAACAATAATAAATAATATTAATATTACTTAGAATAAGTGTGGCTGTGGAGTAGGCTACTGCGTTGGCATAGTATGTATGCAAAAAAGACTGTAAAAAGTTTACTGTAATATTTTATTAAAATGTATTTACTGTAAAAAAAAAAAAGTCTTAGCAGTTCAGTGTTTTAAGATGAAAGAATATCTGCATCCTGGTTAAAAAGCTCTCAACCGGCTGTATAAGAAAACTTCCTGTGCCCGAATATTTGTTATTTTGTAGTTGTTTTGTGTGCTTTTGTTTTTGTTGTGCAGCAAAATAGGACTACAATGTTACTTAACCCCGTTGTATAATGACAATAAATGTACTGTGTAACATTTTAGTGGGCTTTTTGGAGTGTTCTGCAAACATTCATAATACATGCGGTTCTAATAAAGTTATTTGAGAAGCAATCAAATTTTCTTCTTTAACGCTATTATTTCTCCTGAGACGCTCTCACCACTAGGGCTCAGTGTTGTTCCTTTGGTGAAAGTTAGCTCTGTGTGTGTGCGAGTGGTATTCTATTAGATGGAAACGAAGAAAAACAAATTACATTTAGATGATGTAGATTGAGTGTAGAGAGGCTGTTTGTGCGTATGGCTATTATAATGAGAATATTTCACCACTTTGGTTTAGTTGTGAAGCTCTAGGTCAGTGATTGTGGTATTGAATGGCGGTGAGCACCTTTGGCTGCAAAGTGCTGGTGGCACACATAGCCACTGACCCATAATGATGACAAGATAGCACCACAATGATCGGAGCTTTCAGACAACTGTACATCTAATCAGTCTAAATTTTCTGGACCTATTCTCGTCACAATCACCCACATAAAACACAAGCACACACACAAAGAAGGGGGAGGATGGTTGGGAGCCAGCACATCTGCCCTCAGATAAAGAAATGTTTGTTCATGTGGTTACATAATGACCACAGAGCTGTGAGCTAACAGGTGAGAGAAAGCAAATACCACACAAACCCCCTCCATGTCTCTGCTTTTCACAGAGTGTTGAACAGTCTGTTCGAGATCTACTGTACACTTCTTCCTGTCGGTCATAAGGAAAGCAGTCAACCTCTGCTTTGATATGTTGAATAGAAGTTTTTATTATTCGCTGGGAATCTATTTCTGAATTCATCAAATGCATGCTTTGATGAACACAGAGCCATCCAGATATGATTGTTTAATCTGCTGTGCTTTAATGATCTGAAAAGGATAACACAGCCTAATACACTTTAATAATTTCATATTTCATAATAAACTTGTCATAACACCATGTCTGGCACCTGTCTATCACTGAAACCATGTCAGACTGTGGACAGCTGGGGCTCCATTTGGAAGGCACAGCCACTTATGACTAAAAACTGTTTCAAAATGGTTTTATGTATTCATAGTATTCCCATTTTTCAAGCCTAAACCCAAACTGCAATCGCCAACTAATCCAATCGAGTCCTGGCAGTGGAATAGTGTAATGGGAGCCAGAGTAACACCCATGGAGTGATTCCAGAAGGTAGAAAGTCTTCCTTCATTTCACCTTCTTGGGTGAGTTTGAATAAAGACGGTGTTTAGTAAATCTGTGCCTCTGATGGTTCATTGTATAATTAAGAGGTCAGTGTAAATTAGTTTGACAGAGTGGCCCGGCATGCCGTGAGTACGACGGGGGCCTCAGGCAAGGTCAAGGCCCGACGCCTGGCTGACAGCGTCACTGCCGCCGTTATGTAACCCTCCAATTACATCTCGGCTCCACTTTGCTTTTTCCTCTCTTGCTTTTTGCCGTCCATTTCTCTGCCTCTCTCTGCTTCTGTGACTGGACAAACAGCAAGCATTGTCATTGTTAGCACGTTAGCATACTGACATTACGCTGCCAAATAAAGGCAAAAATTATCTGAAACAAGGCTGACAGTCTCCAGTCATGGTAGTGTAACTGTGAGATACTTTATGAGACAGAGACTTGATGTTGCAGTTTATAAGACATAATTAGTTAAATGGACATCACCTGTGTGTATTCACAGCTGTCACTCAAATGCAGCTTCATGAAGGAGTGTGCTTGATTTATCCGGAGCATATATTCCTGCTGTATCTCTGTATGTGTGTGTGTGTGTGTGTGTGTGTGTGTGTGTGTGTGTCTATCAGCATATGAAAAACAGAGAGGATGTTGGTAGATTTAAGGACACAGTGTAATAAGTGAAAGTGCTTCACAGTTATAAGTAATCCTCAGCCTGTTGCAGATAATGAGTGAGTGAACTGCTGACAGAAAAGGAATTGAGTCGGTGGAAGTGAACAAACAAGTGAAATTGATTTTGCATAATGCATGACATGGACTTCCGTTGGCAAAGGATGACTTTTGCGACGCAAAGTAATTGTTGTCTTTCACACAACATGCACCAATCATAGGACTGTGTGCTTTGAATGGAAGTGTGCACCACAATGTGCATTATGCAAGAATGTACAATTTACAATCACTGACTAAATGCTCATGAAATGATGGAGCAGACTTGATGAATGAGTAGAGTAGTGAAATAGTTTATTCATGTTTTGGGACTCTCGTCACCCAAAAAGCTTTGACACTATTTCATTCCCAGAAAAGCCTGCTGTTGCCATAGTGATTTTAACCATTATGCAACTGCTCCACATCACAAAGCATCGGGCTACAAGGACACACATGCACACGTGTGTCAAACAGTGGCATGCAAGCTCCATGGTATATAGAATAACAGAGATGTACTGTGTGTGCAGTGTTATGTGCATTGCATACATACCTACATATACAATGGCAGAATGGGGTCATATTGATGGTTGAGAGCAGACCACTGATCCTGGGGCTGTTACGCAACATTGTCTGACCCCCCCCCCTCTTCCCAGTACAGCTGAGATGGAAGAGCTTATCTTTGTCATCTTTCCATCCTCTCATCTATCAATCTTTCCATCCCTCTGCAATCACACAGCACAGGAACATCAGATCTATACTGCCTCAGGGACTGACTGTGGCTCTGCAGCTGAACTTTGGCAGTATATTAAACATACATTTGCATCTAAAAGTTGCGTGCAAATACAGTATGTGCTCATAAACACCCCCTAACCCTGCCCCGACCCAGACTCTTACAGAATAAAGTGTCTGTCCTTTACTGGGTCACAGTAAATGTTTTGACCTTGTATTGCACTGTCCTAAACAACCACAGGATTACAGATAAGCCAGCTCTAACATACAGTATATAAAGAACATATGTGTTGACAGTCAACCAATGCCATTATTGAGAAAAACAGTGTCTGCACAGCTAGCGGTGAGAAATATGGGGGGTTGCATTCAGATTGAAATGTCCACAAAAATGACAATGAATGAATATAAAATTGTGCTGTATACTTCAAAATGACTTGAAATGTGTGTGTCAGATGGATGTCTATGGCAGCAGTACATTCCAGATGAGAGTGGCTTGTGCTTTCTGTTGACACAAGCCTGTGTCTGCTTAACAGCTCTTCTCCACACAGGCCGTCGGTACTCCTCATGACACAGCGCCTGTGTCTCTTGGAGCAGATTGTTCGATTCCTCGCTATCCGCCTCAGACTGGTAAGAGATGGCCGGGACTGGCTGAGGCAGCCCAGGGTGTCGTCATCCCCCTCCTCCTGCCAAAACAACCCGTCTCTGTTTTAACATCTCTGCAACAAATAAAATTATTCTAGACTAAGGGAAAAACGTCTATATATATGTCAGGGGGAACCTTGTGTATTGGCTGCACTCCACAGCATTTGCTCCAGTTATTTGTCTGCAAAGCAGATAGTGAGAGTGGGTCTGAATGCAGACCCATACTTTCCAGGGTATTTGTAGAGACATTAATAATTCTGTCAGCATGTGTTTGTGTTGGCTGGCGCTCAGAGAGCAATCAATTGTACACACCCAGGGGACGACCTCACATCATGGATATTTACATGAAATTTGATTGCTGCACATATAAATTAGCCAAGTCTGTGGTTTCTTTCTTTAACCCAGTGATGATAAAGTTCCTGACCTTTTCAACAAATAACATCAAATATGAAAGAAGACAGATGTTAACACAAACCAGTGTCTTTATTTTCTTTGCCAACAAAGTGTGGACAACACATACATACAAGATAGAGGTACCAAAGATGTCAAATAACAATATTAATTAATATCATTATTATAACATCAATAACATGGAATGTAGTACTCTTCATTCATATTCTTTTTTGAACTTTTAGTTTATTTTATGAAACATGTCAAATAAAGAAATAACTCTATATCATCTGTCCCTGATACCTATATGAATATAGTCTCTTTGAGTGGAGATGAACAGGGATAGAAGGATGGCTGAAAGAACAGGCAAAAAAGAAGACTGGAGGGTGTGGGCTCACGACCTCTCCTCCTATTGGCTCTGTCCTCATACTCATACAACTCCTGCTCTCTCTCATAACCCTGTACCAGTGCAACCACATACTTGTTCAACAGGATGTGTTTGTGCGTACAAATTGCTGACACCTTCTTTGGAATCGGACATTAGGAAAATATTTCGTCTGGATCTGTCTCAAGACTTCAAACTTCTTTAATTGCTGCCTACCCATTTGTTCCAACAGTGAACTTTGTTAAACAGAATGATGACGTCGGGTAAATTACTACACTCAGTCACAATCTGGGAACCCATCGGCTATCAGTCTGACAACGGATAAGATGCAGAATCTGTTTATAGAGATTACATCAGTCAAACGGCTGGTTTATGTTATGTGCAGGTCTCTTTCATATTCCAAAGACGGACACACACAACAACAGGAACATTGAGAAGCACCAACGGCAGAACCAGGAACTGGGTCCAATCACAGGCCAGGTCTATGTTTGAAGAGGAAAGGAGAAATCTCTCTCCGCCTCTGTAGTCAAGTCCTCCTCTTTGTCCTCTGTGTTACTGTGCATCTATGTCTGAATGTGTGTGTGTGTCATGTCAGTCTTCAGTCTGTGCTGTGGCTCTCCAGCTCGGAGATGATGGTGATCAAGTGCTGGAGACCAAAGATGTAGCCGCTGTCCAGGCCCTCGTACACCACGCTGTCCCCGTGGTAATGTCTGCAGGTGGTGTGGGCAAAATCTATCATTCTCACATCCACCAAGGGGCTACGAGCGTCTGAGAGGGACAAGCGAGCCTGGCTGACACCTGAGCTCCCGCCACTGGTGCTGTCATTGCTAGACGTGGAGGGCCTGCGAGGAAAACCAAGTGCACCTGCTACTTTACCCTCCTCCATTTCTGGTTCAGCCTCCACCTCCTCACCTTCATCCTCTTCTTCTTCTTCCGAGAGGCCATCCTCCGTGTGTTTTTGGTGGGGCGCTCCGTCGTAGATGATGAGCAGAGAGCTGGAGTAGAAGCGATAGGATTCACAGGTTTCCAGGGCAGCTTGCAACTCTCTGAGCCTGAACAGCACCGATGAGAAGAGTTCACTTCGTAGACGCCGTCCGCTGTGGAAGAATTGGAACAAAGCCTCCTTGAAGCCCAACACAGTCAGCCTGCGGCCATGGATCTTGTTCATGAACATCAGCTGGCCCGTGTCACACCGGTACACCTGAAGGGATGGAGAGACATAGAGGGGTTGGAAAAGTACAGAGGGAATAGTGACTTCTTCTATAACACCCAAGATTTGTTTGACTATATTGAAAGAAGTGCCTAAAATTGGCTTTGTTTCACCTGGACTAGACTGGCCAGGTAAAAGAGATAATTAACAGTCAATTGTACAACAAATGTTTTGCGTCTTTTTTTCTAGTTTCTACTTAAATAATCCCGGCAGTGAATGAAAAAAGGACAAGTGTTCCAAAATGTACAGAGCCACTGTTTTGATTGGTCATAGACTTTTGTTGCAGAGTAGATTCCATAACAATACATGGCAGTCAGATTTATTCAAGGGATGGTTAATGAACAGTAGCAATAGTCTCATTAATACTGAGATATAATATAACTACAGCACTTCAGAGATGTTTCCCAAATGTCCAACTGTCCCTTAAAAATGTAGCCATGAACAGTGAAGCTCACCTGCATGCCAGAGAGGCAGACTCCTAAAACAGATGCTGTACTCTGCTGGCACTTGTGCATCTTCCTCGCTTTTTTCTCTTCGGGGACCTCATCTCCATGCTGCTGCGTGCCCATCTTCAGGTCCAACACACACGGCAACGTGTGCCGCCACGTCAGATTTTCCAGCAGGAGGAATTCTGGTAAACTGAGTCAAGGAGGCAAGAGCCGTAAAAATGTGGCCATCTCTTACACTAATCAGTTCACAACATAAAACTGCTTAACAAGGTTAGATTAAAAAAAACTGTGTCTATCTAAGTTTCCCCCTCCACAGTTTTAACTGTATTCACATAAATGCTACAGTCCATGCAATACTGTATGTAGAGGCAAGTCACTTCAATATCAAGTAGCTAATAGGAGTGCTTTGGAAGCACAACTCCACCAGACAAAGACATTGATAGCTAGAAATTGTAGGAGGTATAGTCCCTCCGGTTACATGCTGGAGCCACTGACAATCATGTATACATTTCAGCTGCATCAGGTGTTAAGGTGTCCTGGTGGCTCAGTTGGCTTGATGCACGTACCATGACCTCTAGCCTTGAACCTCTGGACATTAAATCTTAATGCACTGTGATACTGAATTTCATCAAAATAGGGGCCAAAAAAACAGTGTAGTTGTCAGTCAGAGGAAAGGATACTGTATTGGTTGCAGTGCATGGCTTTGTCCTTCATCTTCTGCAGGTGGTGCTGTTGGGTCCAGGGGTTGTGTTTGAGCTGTGGTACAGCGTTACTGTGACTGCGCTCCAGTCTGTAGTAGAGCACCTCGGCCTCCTCCTCCAGCTTATTAACACTGGACAGCAGACGGAGAGAGAGTCATTCGATTTAGGCACAAAGAAGAAAGAAAAAAACAAACTCAGCATCTGCTTGGGATCGTATCGGTAAAGTATGTGTGTGGGTCTTAGAGTATAAAGAGAGGGCAGTAATAAACTGTTATATTGGATGTAAAGAGGAAACCAATGCTGTTGTGTCTTTCACTTACTATGATCCATCCAAAACATTTAAAATCAATCTCAACATTTATTTCGCCGTCAATCAGTATCAGCCTTACGGCGGTATTGCCATTCCAAGCCAGGGCTGACTAAGTGTGTTTGTGTATATGCAGACATGCATCTATTGTAGATATATAAGCCTCTCTCTGGCTGCCAAGGCCAAGAATCAGCCTCTCACAGTATGTAACGCCTAAGGTTGTATGTGTAAGTTAAAGTGTGCGTCATCTGTCAATTAATGTGAGTCTACAGACTACAGCTCTACCATTCATGGAAAACTAAAGATTATCGTAAATAGATCGTGACTGGCCCACAGTGTACTGCTGTTTTTGATGGGACATTTTCTTTTCTTTTACCTCTTGTCCTGGTCTTTACAAGAATGGCGGCTTCTGCCATCTTTGCTGTAATTTTCGCTGTCCACAAGCGGCCAGGATGCCATCATTTTCCCCCACATCAGCATCTCGCATTTGGGCTCACCGTCGGCCGAGGGGTCCTTGTTTTCTAAATCATCTGCTGGGTCACTCTGGATGGGGTAAGCAATCAGGCAAAGGTTCCCTTCTTCGTCCTCCTCGAAGCTCACTGACACCACACCTGAGAGCCGAACATAGAGGGAAACAGAAAAGCATCTGGATCATGAAGCAGGGAAGATAATATGTCTCTCATACTGAAGCAAAGCTAAATAAAGCTGACAAGATAACACAAGCTCTTAAGTGCTAAGAATCTCTTATCCCCAACCTGCTGCTTTACAGAGTAGTTTGTGTCTACACCCACATCTCTTTAAGACATCTGTCCTAACAATACCTGGACAAAATCACGACAAAGGATGGGACTGAGATACTGAGCTCTAAAAGCAACACAGAAAAGGACAGAATGAGAGAACAACCAATCAATATCAGTGTGCTGCCATTGGGTTTTAATGGTGTAAACCCATACAAAAAAACAAACAATGCTCTTCAGTAGTAATGCTAAAATGCATATAGCAACACAGAGAAAATAATAGCCAGACATAAATGACACAAGGCTGCATAATTTAATTTTCTGTTTATTTGCCAAAAATTGAATCTCACACAGATGATGAGCAATATACATAAATACCATACAGAAAAAACACAGCATCACTGTAAATGTACACAGAAAAAAATATATGCTAGTCTACAGGCTTCACCTACGAATGGAGAGCACAACAAATAACAGTCAGCAGGACAGGTTTGTATCATAAACATACATATCATCATCATAAAGTCTTTCCTCCCCACGGTGTCCAATAATATGGTTGAAGGAGAAGGAGAGGAGGACTGAGAATGTAAGTGAAAAAATAAGTATGAAGAGGTGAAAACGCTGAAATGACAGGACCGATGCCTCAAAATATTTAAAGCAAAGCAAGGGAAGGGAATAACAGGTTTTTGAAAAGGGGATCTTGCAGAGATGACAACTCGCGGTTGTATGCTTTTGCCAACTAGTCAAGTTGCATTTACATCCATGTCTGTCCAGACTCATATAATAGATGTCGTGATAAAAGGTATTATGTGTATTTTTTGCCGAAATGGACGTTATCCCTATATTGATATGCACGATTCCAGTGAATGATTTCCAGTAAGAAACATGCATTCTTCAGTTAGAGACTATTTGTATAGAGGATTACAGACTTTGTGGGCTATTGCCAGCGGAACTGTCTCCAGATCGACGCAGGAAAAAAAACAAAAAGCTGGTTGGTGGACTTTCGCAGGTGCAAACAATCTCCTCCTGTACCAGTGAACATCCAGGGAATGAATATAGATGAATCGAGGGTCTAAGGACAGAGGATGTTGTTTGCTGTACAGCTTGTGAAGGCACATTTCGTATTTGTGATATAGGGATATAAAAATAAAATTGATTTGACTTTACTTTGTCAAGCTTTGTTGTTCTTGTTCTGCTGTTTGTCTATTGTTGGGTACGTTAATAGAGGGGAACAAAGCTGTGAAATATGGTCACAATCACACTTTCTGTTCCTGAGTTATGTCGTTGCATAATGGCCAGAAAAGTGTTATTGCAAAACATCATGATGTCGCAGTGAAGTTAGTTAAATGTCATCATTTTATCCTATTAGACATTTGTGTGAACTAATATGTTGATGGCACTGAAGCATAAAAAACCTGAAGACCTTATAGAAATCTGTGTGAGTGATATACAGCTTCCCTCATTAAGAGGTGACATGTTAAACCATCAGTCCACCACGCTCTGTTTGCTAACATCACTTACTGTGCTTCATTTTTTAAGATCCTAAAAAGGGTGTGGTGGTGATGTGACCATTGGGTTTGTGGACTAATCCACAGTCGTCCGGAGGTTTAGGGGAGGTCTGCCAATGTTGACATTTCAGATGCAGATGACCTAGTGGTGGATTTTGGGATCAAAGCGAGGGAGAATCTCACTTGGTACCATTTTCACCGTGCTGGCTGTCAGCCAGAAAAATAAATGGGTGACGTACCTGTGTTAGTACAGCCTCCTACAAATAGGACATCGCAACCGGGTGGTATGTTTGCAGGAGGCCCACTTATAGCTGCAGCTGCAGCACCGTCCTCTGGCACAGTTTGAAACATGCTGCTGACAAGCACCTGGAAACAACACTTGAACAGGAGCAGGGAGCTCTGTTTCCTTTAAATCTAAGAAATTAACACACAACCTGCAAAGCATCATCTCCCCACCTGACTTTCACAAAAGCACATAGAGCAGTGAAATAAAGAAAGAGTGATGAATAACAACACAGCATAACACAACACCGGTTAGAGAAGGAAGGATAGTTTGCATTACCTCTATACTGGGGGGTAAACTTCCTCATTGCTGCAGGTACGCTCTTGTAGAACTGATGTTCGCGGGGGATGAGGGGTTTGCAGATGGTCTGCTCCCCGAGGCGCAGGACGCAGCAATGTCCCCCCACTTGGTGTAGGAAAGGCTCAAGCATCACCCCTTTCTCCATGTAGCACTGCTGCTGCTGTTGCTGCTTTTGCTCTGCATCCACGGCCTTCTGGGCCTGAGCCTCCACAGCCGGACCCATCCTCCTCTGGTCCTGACCACACCGCCGTGGGCATTAAGACAGCAAGGAGGAAATAGAAGAGAAACAGAATAAAAAAGCCAAGTTTTAGTGGATATCTTCTTCTTTTTTAACTCCTTGTCTGGCAGTTGTTGTAGCTGAGTAGAAACAGAAAGCCACAGAAAGTCCTTTAAATGTTGAGGTTTGGACGAGAGCTGCAGCGTCAGATAAAGAATACAGAGATCCTGCTTGTGCCTCCACTTCAGACAGAATGTTCTCTGACAGCTGAGAGCTGGCTCACCACTGGTAAAGCTCTCGCAAGCCTGACAATGGGCCCACCCCCAGAACAAGCAATCCACCAATCAGGAGCGCCCAGAGCAGGTTGTTGGGTGGTAACCCTTCAAGGGAAAGAAGCTAGCACACAAAGACAGTGGTGGGAGGGGGGAGTCTGGTGGAAGGGAGAGAGAAAGGAGAATAAAAACAAGGGGGGAGGGCGAAGCTGAGCCCAGCTGTTTTTCTCTCTGTCACAGCAGGTTTTAACAACCTGACACAACAAGTAACACCATTTCCTCATGTAAAGTGAGGTTTAGAGAAAGGAACAACAGAACAAATGGGAGATAGGAACACGGAAACTGGCGTGCAGTACAAAATACACTGATAAAGGTCAAAACAAAATGCCTTACTAACTACACAGAAAACTTGGACTGAAAGAACCAACAGCTTTGACATGATATGCAACACATGATGCAAGAAGCCTTGATTTTAATGTTGTCACACTTAAAATAGAAGTATTTTTAGCCATCAAAAATTGCTGCTCCCAACTGGCCAGCAGGTCAGCAGGTCCACCAACATTGCTTTCATTTTTCATGCAGTTCGGTTGAAAAAAGCATCTCTTTCATAGCTTATAGCAGAAGGTAGCTTATAATCAGATGCCTGTCTCTTTAAGCCCTCTCACTTGTGGTTCTGTCTGGCTAGTATGTAAAGCATTGCAATGTTTCTACACACGGTGTTTAGGGGCGTTACGAGGCCCCTCTGTGTTCGCTACACCGGGGGATCAATTACCAACCATCAGGGATCATCTTCAGATCCGCATGGATCCTATCAATTTTAGATGGCAAGAGGCACTTTTGCCTTACTTAATATTCATGTTTTTCCATTACACAATGCCCTTTTTAACTGACTGGAGTAAAGGTCTATAATATAATTTGACTGATGGCAAAATCAACTTACTTACTCAAAATGTAAGGACTAAGAAAATAAGTTTGTATAATTTATATAATAATTGTATAGTATGCATTCAGCTTTAAAAATGTCAATATTTGTTGTATTTACTTCTCCCACTTACACCCCGAATTATAGTGGTGTAGCAACAATATAAAACTAGATGAATGAATAAGAGTTGTGGGGAATCCTGCCTGCATTTAAACTCCATCGTAAAGTGAAATTCTTCCAGACCATAGCAGAGCCTATGGCTCAATAAGAATTTAATTGAAAGATTTAAAGAATCTGATAAAGTAGAAGATGTCAATGGCAGCAGAAGTTGTGGATAAGATAAGGAGGGGTGACAAGAGCGGGTTGCTAGGAACTCATGCTGTGGCCAGAGTGGAAACTATAATCCTCATTCACCCTCCTTTTCTTCGTGACACAGATTGTCGTAGCAGGCAAAACAACATCTGATCAAGACAGTCATTCCCTGCTTTCTCCATTCATGTGCGTCCACCTTTACGCTGCTGGTGGGAACACACAACACAGACAGAAGTCCATGGTGTATTACCAAAACGTGTGACTGTGTGCTCGCCTGCTTGCACAGGCACGTGGGTTTGTGCTGTACATTACAGTTGGACACTGGCTGGTTGTGCAATGAGCAGAGTCAGAAAGCCAGAGCTAATCTCTCTAATCCTCCCTTAAGGAACACAACTAGAAATGAAACCATGCCAAACAAGTAGGAAATAGCCACAGTTACACTTAAACACACGTGTGTTTTGCTTTCTGTCTGATGGTGGACACAGAATTGGGTTAGCTCTTAATCCCTGAGTTTATCACCACATGGGTGTCCTGCAGCGTTAACATACAACTATGTCAATGTCAACTCCTGTATTGCATGCTATATTAAAATTAGATCAAAGAGAGAGTGGCAGAGAGTTGGCAATGTGAAGAAGCCAACTTTAAAGAAGCTCAATACGGAATTCAAAAACAAATCTATGATTGAGGGATTGCCTCCACGCGGCTCTCAATGTGGCGAAGGCTGAGCCAGCAGCTAGCAGCTAACGGTGCTAACAGCATGAACAGTGGCAACAAAGGTAACAGTGCTAACAGTGTTAACCAGAGGGGAACCAAAGGGTGAGCGCTAAACTTATGCGAGGACGCCATCGGTCGGAACAGCGTTATCAGTGATAACTGCGGTATGAGAGCAGTGCAGAGGCCAGTAGCTGGCCGGTGGGGCCCAAAAACAGGGACTCTTAGCCAGACCAGCTACTTAAACACAGCACAGAGATGCATGGATTACAACACACAGAGGGAGACTTTATTCCAAAACAAGTACCAGGTCCCGATTACTTTCCACAACTTCTGCCAATGGAAAAGCAAAAAGAACGGTTCCAAGCATGTCGACTCGAGTCGAGTCGTACCATACAGTAAAAATGCAGCAGTTGAAGCCCAAACTGTAAATTGATTATGAACTGTGCAGTTGAAATTACATGCTGTAGAGAGCAACGGAAATAAAAAAAAAGGAGACAGCGGAGTGAGCGCCGTGACCTTGAAAGAAATGGGCCGAGACCAGCATGGGGCAGTTAGCAGGGGCTTTTCACAGCGCCGATGAGGTATGTGCCGGTCACAGACAGAGACACTGGGATATGCAGCTAACAGGAAGTTGGAATCCAGAACCACAACAGGTGGGGAAACAGCTTTGCAAATGGATTTCAAAGTTCTGTTTTTTTTCTTCAGCCTTATGATTGTCCGTCACAATTTTGGTTTCTTCTATGACAGCAAGCGAGATTCAGGTTCATTTAGGAAACTAGAGTGATTCCACACACTGGAAATGAGCTGGATTTAGTTAACTCTGAAATCAATCTGAATAAAACACACAATATATAACATATAACTATATGGATTGTCACAGAGGTATACGCACAGTCAATGTCACCAGTCCATCACACAAATAACAAAGACAGAGAAGCCCCGCAGAATGTACCAGAAATCAAACCTGGATCCATCTTCCTTGATTCATGCTACACACAAAGCTGAAGCCACCGTCTCTCTTCTCATACAATATTTCACCTAAAAACGGCTTTTAACTGTGCATTACCTTCTGCTCCTTGCATGTATTCAAAGACAAAACCCTGCAGATAACATCCTTCCTCACCATGATCAACATATTTACGGAGATCAAAGGGCTCATCTAGCAAACTTAATCTGTGAGCTGTTGTCTATCAGCAATAACAGGGCAGCAAAGGGGACAGAGGGGGAGGTCAAGTGGGTCGATGATTCATTGATCAAGGTAGCTCTGGAGGGCTTCACAACAGGTTCAGGCGTCCTAGAAAGGTGATTGGCAGATATGTCCGTATTAAGAGGACCGGTGTGGAGGATGGTTGGTGGAGGGGAAGTAAGGGTGGGTGCAGTCTGTCTTTTGCCCTTGTGTGGCTATTGACATTGGAGGAGGAGGCTAATATGGAGGTGCTGAGTGAATTTAGATATAAAACAAATGCAAGGGACATGGGGAATGTGAAGGGCAAAGTAGTAACAAAGAGCACACACACACACACACACACACACACGCACACACACACATAAACTTGGATAGGTCTATCACGTGGTTCTTACTTCCAGTAAATCTTACAAACAACTACTCCTTTATACATAAATGCCTCTTATAAATGTCACGTGTATGCTCGGTGCTTTTCATGGGTGTCAGAACTAGATTGTTGTGTGCTTTTGTACTGCTGACCTTATCTAGCTCAAGAGCCTTAAAAGATTTAGGATGAGACAGATAATCTGAATGAGGTGGCATGAGTCTGGATCTATACCTGGACCATTTTAGGCGGTGGCCATGGGTAAGCATGCGAAGACACATCAACTCATATTCAGGTGAGCAAAACTCTCAAAAGTCATGAAAATCACACATGCAGACAGGCAGAAACAAAGCAACAAATACACAAAAAAAAGGAAAATATAAACTGCACCAACACGTAAATACAAACACACAAGCTCTACCTCAGCTGGTCAGGCACCTGGCACGGGTGCAGTGTGGAAAGGATCTTTCCCATGTGGTGGTTTTCGGGGTCATTTTACAGACTGATCACCTCACATGACATCACACCAGATAAACACTTAAGCCCCCACTAAAAATACCACATGCTGGAAGTAATTCAGGCTGCGGACTAGCTATAAATAAACAGCTAGGTCCATTACAAATGCAAGAGACAAATAAACTCAGGGACCACACAGAAAGGAAGCAATTCACTTGTCAAAAGACATTTCGCACAGAGGACACCTGCCAAACACAGGTATAGCATTAATAACGGTTGATTCCATTCAAGTGTGTCAGTTACAAGGCCCTGGTGCTGTGCATGCCAACCCACTGCATGGTTTACTGGCACACTGAAATACAACGAGGCCAGCGTTGATGTTGTTACACTCATGATTTTCTCGCTATCACACAAAATTTAAACCCGGGAAATGTCATAGGCCAGTTTCCCTAGGCCTCAGTGAAGTCCTAGTTGATTCAAGGAGAAACGGTGAAATGGGAGTATATGATACTGGAGATATGTCATACAGAAGGTGGAGTTTGGTGATGTAGTGGAATTGTTGCAATGGTAATAAATAAATATATGCTTCAACAGTAATATCTAATAATAATAAAAACAATATAATGACATGGTTTCACATAATGGTCATATTGTAATAATAATATTAAAACAAGCAATAATTATAATAACCATCATAATAGTTGTGGTTACATTGACATAGTAATTTGTTGTGCTGCCTTTGGGTCCAGCCCCGGCTATAAAGCCATAAAGCTCAGCGCCACTGGACAGAACATGGGAATGTGGACGTCTCATATACTTCCTGGATTTATGCTTAAAGCCGTCGACACTTCTCAGAATTATTAGACAGACACTGGCTTCAGTCTATTGACACAGTGCAGTCTAGCAGAGAGCTAGAGCTGGTTCTTATACTACTGAATTTTTTTTTTTGGCATTCATTGACAGCAACGTTAAGGCACAACATAACTAATTAATTTGACATCAAGCTACTATGTGAAGAAATAAGCCGAATTTCTCAAAGATCCCTTGTTGTTATGCTGTTCTT